AACACAGATGTGGCGATAGCATGCAGGTACTCAAGAGGGCTGCACCAAGAACACAAGACACCCCCCATGTTGCCGCTCCTGTTGCGCCCGAGTTGAAGACGTGCTTCGCCGAGTATATCAATGCATCGCTGGATACAATTGGATGTGCCTCTTGAAGGGGCTATCGAAGACTGCCTTCGATGACTGTCAATCGGCTTGTCAATCAAATGGGAACCGCCAGGATCAGCCCAACGACGACCTGCACCAGCAACGCAATAAGCTAAGTAAAATCGGCCACAGCCGCGGCACGTCAGATGAAGTAAGCCTTCTGAGTGAGTAGCTTCTCTTCAAATATCTTCACACATGGTGGTCACTCGATGAATGCGGCCGACCTCACTCGATTGCTGGCGCAGCCGGCGTCCGCATTCAAGCCGCCTGAGACGGTCGACGACAGGATCTTCTCCATTGAGTGGGCGACCCGTTACCGATTGAACGAAGAGCAGATGCGGGCGTTCCAAGTCATCTGCAGTCACTTGCTGGACAAATACACCGTGAAATTTGGCATGCGCATGACCGGCAAGGGCGGCAACGGCAAGACCGTCATGAAAGCCGTTAAGGCTTGGTACAGGCACTTACCGGTGTGGCTGCAGGCAACACCGAAGGCTCGACCATCGATTCGCTCCTGCACCTCTTCGATGACCTCGAGAGTGGCGAGAAGAGGATGCCCGCGCCAAGCGGGGAAGCACAGACAGTCGATGGTGACCGCATTTGCAGAGAGGAGCCTTACAAGCATATCCACTACACGATAGTCGGCGAGATCTCTTTCGTTAACCGCCAGAAGCTCGACAAAGTCGATGCGGCACTGAGGGACCTGCGAAAAGACAACCAAGAAAGACAAAGCTCAACCAGCTGCATGAACGGACAAAGGAGAAACATCCCATCCACCACAAACTGGCGCATTTCGTGCGTTACACAGTCAGTTGATGCATTTTTAAGAAGTTCGCGCCCAGAGATACCCTTAGATACCCTTGTTCGTTGACTTTCTCCCCGAGCGTGGGATCTTTTTCAAGCAGCAGCGGTTTCAGGCAGCACCCTATGCGGCCTGACGGCCAAGCTCGCCAAGCATATCAATGCATCGCTGGATGCAATTGGATGCCAACCTATCGATATCCAGCGATGATATCAATAGACATGTATCAATCTAGCGCGCCTGTTGAAGGGGCTATTGAAGACTGCCTTCGATGACTGTCAATCGGCTTGTCAATCAAATGGGAACCGCCAGGATCAGCCCAACGATGACCTGCACCAGCAACGCAACAAGGTAAATGAAATCGGC